AACGCATATTTATTTGAAATATGAAGTACAAGTTTACAAATTAATTTAAAGTACAACTATAAATTTACAATTTTGAAATATGAAGTACAAGTTTACAATTTTGAAATATGAAGTACAAGTATAAATTAATTTGACAAGTGCTACAAAATACATTTTATAATAAATTCTAAAATACTAATCAATCGGAATCTCCAGCATAGGTAGAGCCACCATCGTTGTTGAGTCATCCATAAAATCTTGGGAGGGGGTGATGCTCATTTCTTGAGTTCTACGTGCGGCCTTCAACCAATCGTGGTAGCATATAAGCGTCTCAAGGGACTCCGCGCTCAATCTCGATCTAGATGCCGTTAGGACGTTGCCGGCCGAACTAAATTTTTGTTCCACAGCAACTGTTAAATCCGGCATTGATAGTACTTGCTTAGTCATCCGTGCTAAAATCGGGAACGTTCTTTCTTTTGACTTCCACCAGTCTAGAATGTCAAAGTCATTATTTTCTTCAAAATCAACTTCATATATTAAATACAAAGTAATCTAATTCAATGCGCTTTGTTCAGTGACGTGAGTTGTTTTAGTTTTTTTCATAAGATTGCCAAATGCAGATTTAAAAATCGATTTTCCTTTAGATGAAGATGTTCGTGACGGGGGAGGGGGAGCATTGCTATATTGTGCACGAAACTCATTAAATAAGGCATAAAATAAAGCACTAACCTCGTTGTATTCCGTTTTCGGATCTATGGGGTTATCGTCATACATTGGAAATTCACCAAAAAACGCAAGATAATAGAAGTTGAAACAATCTTCCAAATTAGCAAGTCTAAAACGATCTTTTTTCCTATTTAATGTTAATTAATTAATTAATTACGAAATTAGGGCTGGGTTAAAAGTATTTACCAAAATACTGCCGGATTAACCATGGTCGGGGTAAGTCGCCCAACGGTTGGGCGACTTATAAGTCGCCAAACGGTTTGGCGACTTATAAGTCGCCCAACCGTTGGGCGACTTTCCCTTAAGTAAAAATCGGGGCACGCCCCAAAACAGAACCCTGCGTAAACATCACTCCCCAAATCCCCCAAGCCACACCGACGACAGACGAAGGAAGAAGACGACCGAGCTCGTATCCAACTCCGGCGAACCTCCATTTCCGGCCTCCCCACTCCGGCAAACCTTCACCTTCTTCTGCAACACTCCTTCTTTCTTCTAGGTAAATAAAACTCAATTTCATCTCATTTTGAACTTAGGGTTTTGAATGTTAAAAATTTCGAATTAAGTTGTTGTGAAATATGGATATGTATGAAATGTTGAAATTTGATTTTAAATTGATTGTAAATTTAATGTGTATTTTGACATTTGGGCATTTGGGTAGACCTGAATGTAGCTAAATTTGGGTATTGAAATGTAGACTTGAATGTAGTTATCAAAATTTGGGTAGTTTCATATTGAGATGTGAATTGTTGGTCAATTTCGACTTTTGAATATATTACAATTTTGGTAGCTTTTTTATTTAGGAAATTTGAATGTGTATAAAGTGTGTATATTGATGCGTACTCATTAATTTTGGACAATGAATTGTTATTAGAATATGAATTTCTCAAGCTTCCCAATCGTGTGTCATTGGGGAGGGAACTATTACGAGGATGCTGGGCAAATATGCCATGAAGGTGGTAGAACCAGCTTTGTCATGGTTTCTCGTGGCGCTTGCATGCTCGAGATCCTTCAAAAAATACATGCAGCCACAATGATTCATCCTAGTCGTTCTTTGCGGTTGAAAATGAAATTTCCCATGAACGGGGGAAAGTACATGCTTATGCCCCTCATTGATGAGCTAGCTATAACAAATATGTGGGGCATAATTCAGATGGAGGATATGTCGTCGCTGGAGGTATACATTGAGGAATGCTTTGACGTTAATGCTACTCAATCGACATCAAATGCTGTTGTATCTAGGCATGATGTCATTGCAGGGGTGAATGCAGGGAAGTTGTCAAAGGTTCCTGTACTAGACATGGTTATACAGGAGGATGGCAGGTATTTGCACAACGGTGCATCATTTGTGGATGGGCAGGGAAGTGATGATGATGCAGACGAGAACATCAATGGTGACGACATGACAGAATCTGATGAAGATGATGGTGATACTGTGACATCAACTGCCCTGTCTAGCCACTTCACTAGAATGTATGATCTCCCTGAAGGCTTTACTGATGCGTGGATGAGTGGATCAGGTGAGAAAAGGTTTACCCCCGATGGTGAGTTTGAGGTCGGTCAACAGTTTGACAACAAAGAACAAGTCATCAATATGGTGAGCTTGTATTCTATCAAACGGAACCAATTCTATCGGGTGATAGAGTCTGATAAACACAAATGGGTGGCACAATGCAAAAGGAAGAAAGAATGTCATTGCCCCTGGAGAATACGCGCCACAAAGAACAAAGGCAACCTTGACACCTTCACAATTGTGCGTTATACTGGACCTCATTCTGCTTCATGTGTAGGCAACATCGACACTACAGATCACGTGGCCTTGACATCAGAATTCATCTGTAAAGATGTGGTTGACATTATTCGCACTGAACCTTCTCTTAAAGTGCATACTATCATCGAGATGTTGAAGGAAAAATATGGGTATACGGTATCTTACCGGAGAACATGGATGGGGAAGCAAAAGGCTATAGCACAAATATTTGGCGGTTGGGAAAAGTCATATTTCGAATTGCCCCGTTTCATGACAGCGCTCCAACATTCTAATCCAGGAACTGTTGTTCAGTGGTACCCACCCCCCAATGGTTCCACAGGTTATATGATGTTTCAAAGAGTTTTTTGGGCATTCAAGGCCTCAATATCTGGTTTTAAGCATTGTCGACCCGTACTTACTATTGATGGCACACCCATGTATGGAAAGTACAAGGGTACATTGCTCGTGGCCATGGGTTGTGATGCGAACAACCAAATTTTCCCAGTCGCCTTTGCAGTTGTTGAATCCGAGAATGGAGATAGTTGGCCATGGTTTATGGCATGTATTAGGCAGTTTGTGACTGACAGGGAGTTGTGTGTCATTTCAGATAGACATGGAGGTATTGTCAGGGCAATGAATGAGGTGGGCAGTACATGGGAGGAGCCTTATGCGCATCATAGGCTTTGCATCCGCCATCTTGCATCAAATGTGCACACACATTTCAAAGACATTCATTTAAAAAATCTTTTTGTGTGGACCGCACGGCAACATCAGAAAAAAAAAATTGATGGTGGGCTCAAGAAGATAGGTGAAATGAGTAGGGATGCACGCCAATTTTTGGCCAACATTCCTCCAGAAATGTGGTCGCTGCACCACGATGGCGGGTACAGATACGGTACCATCACTTCAATCTAGCTGAGGTTTTCAATAGCGTCATGAAAAATGCTAGATATTTGCCCATTACCGCGTTGGTCCAGGTGTCTTTTTACCGGGTTAATGCCTACTTTGTGCATAGGCGTGAAACCAGTAAATTGAGGCTCACACAAGGCCACGAGTACTCTCCACACATCACAGATTTAATTGAAAAAAATAGAGAGAAGGCAAAGCATCACATTGTCACTCCATTTGATTTAGGGAGAGGTATATTTCAGGTGGAAACCGGTTGTGGTGGCCGAACGTTGGGAAAGGGTGGGAGAAAACAAACTGTCCACCTACAACGGAAAACTTGCACTTGTAAAAAGATGCAGATATACAAGATTCCATGCTCTCATGTATTAGCCGTGTGTAGACAACGTAGTTTGTCTTATGGTCCTTTTGTGGATAAGTTCTTCTCATCTGACCAATACGCCGCCACATATCATAGGGTGTTCAAACCGATTCCTGATCGTGATTATTGGCCAAATTACAATGGACCCGAAATCGTGCACGATCCATCCATGCTTCGGGCAAAGGGAAGACCAAAGTCGACCCGTATTAAGAATGAGATGGATGAAGGTCCACGAGGAACGGTTAGATGTGGAAAATGCCACCAAACCGGCCATAATAGAGCGACATGTGCGAAAAGATCGTCTAGACAAGAGGGGGGGGGGGGGGGTCCACCGGGTAAGGTTCTATTTAGAGTCAATCATAAATCATGCTTTCCTTGCAGGGAAACTTAATAATTTCAAAAAGGAATGTTAAAAAAAAAGTAATACATTATACAATTAGAACTAATACAAATTTTATTTGTTTGTAGGCATGGAGGTGATAGCGGATCCTGGGCCGAGTGATCGTTCTGTCCTGACATTGCAGGCCTCGCACAGGAGTGAGGATGTTTGGCTTGGCATGGATGTCCAGGTTGATAGGTGCCGCGAGCACCTGCGGGGTTTGTCCCATTTACATGTCGACCCCAGAGTCCTAGCCTATGTTCGTGCTGCTGGTTTTTTTACACTGCACAGATTAGTGGCTACTGTGCCTCTTGATAGATCCCTTCTCACTGCTCTACTTGAGCGTTGGAGGCAGGAGACACACTCATTTCACCTCCCTGTTGGTGAGGTGACTGTGACATTGGGAGATGTGGCTGTACTCACCGGGTTAGAGGTTCATGGGAGAGCTGTTACAGGCACTGCTTGTCGACAATGGGTTGATGAGTGTGAGCGGTTGTTAGGTATCCGCCCCGTTCTTAGGACTGACCTTCAGGGGTCATCTCTTAGGATGCCGTGGTTGAGGGAGCACTTCCAGGTCCTTCCTCCCGACGCTGATGAGGTGATCATCCAGCAGCATGCTCGGGCGTATATATTGATGATGATGGGAGCCTCCATTTTCGCTGACAAGAGCGGAAATGAGGTTCAGGTGCTACACTTGCCTTTGCTGGAGAGGTTTGATGTAGCAGCACAGTTCAGCTGGGGTAGTGCCACCCTGGCTTATCTATACAGGTAGCTGTGTCGCGGTTGCCAGAGAGGGAGCACAGAGCTGGGGGGATTTTTGCTACTCCTCCAGATTTGGTCATGGGAGTATATCCACATTGGCCGTCCCATTATAGTCGGATATCATGGCATTGATGGGCAGCCACTGCCTGATGAGCCTCCACGTCTGCTAGGACCACATCATGTACGGGGCGAGGACCCTCTAGGCCGTCGGTATGTTTTCAATCGTTTGTATTTATGTGAGTATTTGTTGAATGTTAATAAATTAATAATATCCATATTATTGATATTGTTACATGAATGGTTAGGTGGCTATATGCTGGTCTATCTCGCATGTCATCCGCAACTGGGCTCGGTGTCTACAGGGATGCATTGGATCGGATGTCTGAGGACCAGGTATGGTGTATGTAGTATAACATTAACTAGAATAGGTGTAGAATAAATACTAATTTTGTATGTTTATGAAACAGATCACATGGATGCCGTTTAGACCTGATATGTTAGCAGAGTTGCCCCCAGCTGGACGAGAGCATACTCACATCTGGCGAGCACGTGTCCCGTTGATATGTTTTGACATTGTTGAGCTGCATTTGCCTGATAGAGTCATGCGACAGTTTGGGTTTGAGCAGGTCGTTCCACGTCCTATCGACACTTATGTAGAGCTGCATAAGCTGGATAGGCGTGGGAAGCATACAGAGGATTGGGCACTCAGACATGTCCGATACGTGACTATGTGGGAAAGGAGAGCTGAGCTAGCTGTGGTTGGGACACCCACATATGTGCCATCTGTTTCAGGAGACTACATGGGATGGTACTACAACATCACTCGGTTATTTGTGTCTCCTTCGTTCAGACTCCCTACTCATCATTATCAGCCTAGCTCCTTGGCTTTGCATCTTACGGTGAGTATATTAGTAATTAGTAAAGTAAGTCATTTTATTTATGTAATACTTGTATGTATTTGAATGTAATTGTAATTGTGTTTCATATTTCAGACACGAGCTTTGCAGCGCATACATCAGCGGGCTACTGCCACTGTGACTGATATTCCTGATGTGGACATGTATGGACAGGCTCTGACAGGCATTGCCTCGTTGTGCTCAGATGTGTTGGGCCGAGTAGACTACAGACATCTTATACACATGCCCCCATCTCAGGAGATGGCATCCACGTCTAGTGCAGCCGTGGCTTCATCATCCCAGACGCAACATGAGAGAGTGGTTCTTCAACCACGACAACGCCGTAGGCGTAGACATGAGCAGCAACATCTCCATGACGAAGCTGATGATGAGAACTTGTAGTTTGTCTTTTGTATTGTAGTTTTTCTTATGCAGTAGATGTTGTACGAACAATGTACAAGTTTTGATGTATTTTGTCTTGTTAAGTATTGTATGGTGTATTGATGTGTTCGAGTATGAATATTAGATGATTACTTGTTATGGCATATATGATGATTGTATTGTGTTATTCCGGTTATGATTTGAAGGTTTTTTACGGGTGTTTATAAGGTGTTTTTAATATTGTTGAGAGTAGGTCATTGTGAAGACGTGTGTTGTATGTTTTATAATGTGTTGTATCTAGTTCGTAATACTTTAACAGGAGAAAGGAGACCTTATTTATAGCAAACAGATGAGTCTGGGTTGAACCGGGGCGAAAAACCAGATGAAATGCTGTTTTTGGACATAGGCACGATCGTGCGTACCCTTGTAGGCACGATCGTGCCTGGCTGGCAGTAGCTGCTCGCCTTCAACCATATTTCAGGGGTAAGTCGCCCAACCGTTGGGCGACTTATAAGTCGCCAAACCGTTTGGCGACTTATAAGTCGCCCAACGGTTGGGCGACTTACCCCTGACCGTGGTTAAGGGCCAGCAGTATTTTGGTAAATACTTTTTTTCCAGCATTATTTCCGTAATTAATTAATTAATTAACATTAATTCGAAAAAAAACTCGTCTAAAACGAGGATCGAGAATAAATGCAATACCATAAATATGGGGAATATGCGCATAATATTTTAAAAACATTTCCTTCATATAATCACAAAAATAACTCACGAAAACGACATTCTCAAATTCTTTAAAAGCACCGGCGAGATTAACAGCTTCACGAATAAATTGGTTTGCGGTAGGTTTATAAACATGACTAAAAGTTTCAGTTGCATTAAAAAAAATCAAAACATTACAAATTTTTTCGCAAGTGTCGATCTCAGCCGAGTTTATAATATAATTATCATGTTGTTTTAAAAAAGCAGGAAAATGTTTTTTATATCTAAGAACAACTTTAAGTAATTTATAAGTACTATTCCAACGAATACTCAAATCTTTAGGAAAAGCAACATATCTCACACCTCTCCGGTCAAATAAGTTTTCCATTTTAATCTATGTTGACTATTACCCCAAATACGTCTAATCCTCCCCTTCACTACCTCCATAGCATCTCCTAACGCTTTTAGACCATCTTGCACACATAAATTTATAACATGACATGCACAGCGTCGATGAAAAAATCTACCCATCAAAGTATTGACACCACACAATTCACGCATTCTAGGTATAACAGCAGTATTATTAGTAGCATTATCGAAACCAATAGCAAACACCTTATCAATCAAATTATACTCAATTAAAATACGCTCAATCAAAATATAAATATGTTCAGCGGTGTGACGATCATTAAATTCACGAAAAGCAAGAACACGTTTATGCATATTCCAATCCTCATCAATATAATGTGCAGTCAGACCCAAATAATATAAATGATGAAAATCATCCTCCCATATGTCAGAACAAATAGTAACACGTCCATCAAAGTTTGAAAAAAAAAATCGTAACCTTGCCTTTTCCGCATTATAAAGCCTTATAATTTCTTTCTTAACAGTTTTGCGACTATAACTTCTAAATGGAGGATTTAAACTACCTTATGCATAATCTCTTAAAGCAAGACTTTCAGAAAACATATAAGGCAAATTTTCTTCACAAATTAAGTTAGCCGTACCAGTCAAATTTTGTGCATCATTGTAGGAGAAATTACCAAAAGGTTGAGAATTCGCAAACCTCGATATTTGAGTTTGCTTCCCCGTTCTGCCGCCTAATTTTGCATACTCCACGGGGTGCTTTGCCTTAAGATGCCTTGCGGCGGATCCGTATCCGCCGGAGGTCCCCAAGCTATAATTGTTGTTGCACCACTTGCAAGTTGCGTGCCAATAGCCGGTTTGTGGGTCCTTTCACTCATCAAAATTATTTTACATTAGTTCAGATTTACTTTTTTTATTACCGGCGGCGGTTTGGGATGAGGCAGGCTCGTTGGCGTCGTGGCTTCCGGCACCCTCCTCCTCAGCCGTCTCCGGTTCCATTTCCTCCGCATCTTCATCCTCAAGCTCCTCTTCGTCAATGGTCGTCAGGATTTGTTGTTGTAGAAAGCGGTTATTATGTCAGGCCAATTCTTGTTGTAGTTGTTTTTCGGACATCGCATCTACATCTCTCCTTTGGTAACCCGTTTCAAAATCATCTCGGCTTTGAGATGAAGAGCCGGCAAGTTCTTTAAATTTGCGGGATTTCTTCCTCCCAATCTCGTTCCTTCGATTGCGCTGGAGGTTACCCAAATCAACCGAATATCTACCATATTCCATCTTAAAAATGTAACAAATATTAATTGGCAAAAATATAATAATGAATACAAAAGCAATGCAACTAATTAAAACTATTTTAATTAATACTTCAAACTAATTTAATGCAAAGTAGAATTAATGTGTGCCTCTAAAATTAAAATTATAGCAACTTTTCAAGTACTTTAATTTAGTAAAAACTACTTCAATAAAATGTTAAGTACTTTAATTATAATGTGACTTTAACTATAATGACAATTAACTAGTTTTTTGAAGTAGAGTTGTTTTAGCAATTAATGGGAATACTAATGAACTAATTAACTAGTATAATGAAAAATGTAACAAAAATGCTAATGAACTAATTAACTAGTTTAATGAAAAATGTAAAAAGAATACTAATGAACTAATTAACTAGTCTAATGAAAAATGTAACAAAAATGCTAATGAACTAATTAACTAGTTTAATGAAAAATGTAAAAAGAATACTAATGAACTAATTAACTAGTATAATGAAAAATGTAACAAAAATGCTAATGAACTAATTAACTAGTTTAATGAAAAATGTAAAAAGAATACTAATGAACTAATTAACTAGTATAATGAAAAATGTAACAAGAATACTAATTAACTAATTAACTAGTATAATGAAAAATGTAACAAGAATGCTAATGAACTAATTAACTAGTATAATGAAAAATGTAACAAGAATGCTAATGAACTAATTAACTAGTATAATGAAAAATGTAACAAGAATGCTAATGAACTAATTAACCAGTATAATGAAAAATGTAACAAGAATACTAATTAACTAGTATAATGAAAAATGTAACAAGAATACTAATTAACTAATTAACTAGTATAATACTAGTTATAGTAACTAATATATAATATAATGTTTATAGTATATAATATATAAGTATACTACTATAAGATGAGTAATACACTTATATTTTATACTTTAATATATAAACTATATATTAAGTAGATGTAGAATGTATGTATTAACTATTAAGTGGATATAATAATTGTATAAGAATTAAATATTAGAGTATAATGGAGAATTGGAGATTGGAGAATAAGAAAATAAGTATATATGAAATATAAGTAGAGAAGTAGATATTATTATGTATTACGTATATAGTAATAGTTTATAAAGTATATTTAATACTTTAATATATAAAGTATATATTAAGTAGATGTAGTATGTATGTATGTATTAAGAGATATAAGTAGAGATTAAGTAGATAAGAAATATAAGTAATATAGTATATGTATTTATAAGTAGATAATTAATATATATAAGTAGATATAATAATTGTATAAGTATTAAATAGTAAAATAAAATATAATGGAGAATAAGAGAATTTGAGAAGATGAATATGGAGATGAGTAGAGAGTAGGATTTAGGAAGAGTTGGAGAAGAGGTGTGAAAAAATGTTTAAAATTAGGAGTATTTATAGTTTTTTTTAACCCCCCACCCCACCCCACCCCCACCCCCCTAAGACCCCGGACTCCCCCTGGTACCCACCCAACGGCTATATAGCCGTTTGGGAAGTGGGTCAAGTTGTCAAAAGGCTTTTTTAATTTAAAAGGATTTTTTTTAAATGGACCGTTAGGCCCGGGCCCGACCCGGCCGGGCCGGGTCGCCAAAAACTACACCCGAGCCCGGACCCGCCACCCCCACCGGTTTGGTGCCCGAACCGGACCCGGACCCGAGAACCGGGCCGGTTCCGGGCCCGCACAATAACGGGCCGGGCCGATCTCGGGCCGGGCGGCCCGAACCAGGTCCACCACAAGTTGTGGACAGCGTTCTCGTGTTTTGAGTATGTGTCATGTTTTTTGTCATTCCTCTTCCTGGATTAAAAAAAAATAAATTGAATGTCCGTGGGGCGCTTTGGGTGGTGGTTTAACTTTTTGGGGGAAAAAGAAATTGACTGAGTTAGAATGTCACTAAGGATGTTTTTACTTTGATTGTTTTCAGTCCTAGACTAGATAGTTATAAAATACATTTAGACGAGACATTTATTAGACTAGTTTAGACCAGTTAGCAAATTATTAACTAGACATTTACTAGACTAGAAATTATTTATATTATATAAATGATATGAAAATGTTTTTTTATCAAAAGCACTCTCATGAAGACTAATACTCCCTCTGTCTCATTATGATTGTCTCATTTTACCATTTCGGTCCGTCCCAATATGATTGTCTCATACCTTATTTGGTAAAGTTTGTGTAGTTCTAAATCATTCCTATTTTATTCTTACTTTATCAATTCAATATCAACCACATAAACTCAC